ATGTCTTTTTAGTGGATTGTTTTGTGACTTTTGCCCATGGTTTTTTTTATCATAATTGGAGGAGCTGAACTAATCTCAGCCTTTCAATCTCATTTCCACCCTAATATAGATGTCCCATCTGGTTTTTGAAAAACAGAGCTTTTTTCAACCATTGATATATATTTGATTGATCTTAAGCCATGGATCAAAAATGTATCTCAATACATTTTGAACATTTTTTTAAAAAGCTTTGTGCCTTATTATATAGATATATATATATATATATATATATATTAATTTTAAGGATATACTGGATACTTCATTTGAGGCGATTAATTATATGAGTTTTGAATGACGAAATTTATTTATTGTTTAATGTGGGGATTTGCTGGTCAGTTTGCTGCCTTGTGCGTTTAATGCCACAACGGTAGTAGTGAAAATTTATTTTAAGACTTATTTTAATTGATTGTAAATTGTTTTAAGTAAGTTGTATTTTCTTTAATTTTTTTTTAAAATATGAGTTGGGTTTGAAGTGATGTGAATATAGCAAAGGTGATCAGTGTGAATTTAAAATAAGATGATGTAACTTAAATAGAATTAGGTAACTTTTTTAATGTTTTTAAGGGCATGACAAACTAGGCCTAAAGTTGAAAGAACATCAAAAAAAAAATATATTTATAAAAAATTAAGTTAATCGGATAATCAATAACTTTATACAAGATTATATTCGATTCAGTTTTGATAGCATATAATTTATTTTTTTATATACACAAACATGCATTGTGATAAAGAAGTATTGCATATCGGATCAACTTTATTTATTACAGATATTTTATTTTTGATATTCCTTGAAATTTAAATAATTTGAATTATTAAATCAGGATTTCAAAATAAGGTTTTAACAGAGCAGCACAAATAATCACTGTTCACACCAACTCTTTAACGTGCTACTTTTATAATGTTATTTGAAAAATTTTAGTGATAGACATCTAATTATACTGTTTTTTTCCTTTAATTTATGCATAATTTTTTAATTATAACAATATTTGTAATATAATGTTATAAGATCTTTAAATTATGTCTTATAAATATTTAATTATAATCTTTTTTTTTTTTTATGCTAGAATTATTGACTTAGATATATAAAATATAGTTCTTTTTTTAATTACGAGAGACAGTACTCTCATAATTTTAACCTATGTATATTATGTATTTAAAAATCAATTAACTAAGACCTGACACCATCACTAGTAAATAAATAAATTTAGAATAGATAGGACATTGCTTATAAAGTGAGCATTATTCGAATATAATACCAAACGGAAAAAATATCTGATACATGAAAAACAACAATACAATAAGAATTTTAAATATTTTGAATTTTTAAAGAGAGGTTGTTAAGAAATAAAAAAAAAAGTTTAAAATATCCCATTAAAATAGAGCGGAAATTTCTAGAGCTCCTTTTTGCTTGTGTGTTGTTGCGTTGTGTAGCGGAATTTGGAAAGAAGATATTTAAAAAAATAAATAGAAAATATATCTTTTTTATTCTCTTTCAATATTTTTTCAAATCTCGCTAACCTAAACACAATATTAAAACTCATAAATTTAAAGTCTGCAAAACATTTTTGATTGAAAAAATATCTAGGTAGACGCCTTGAAAGGTTGCACTAGAATTTTTCAAATTGTCCGTTTTTGTTGGACAATATTCACATATTTAAAAAGATTTAAATTACTGTTGTTGTACAAAACCACAACCAAGAATAAAAAAAATAGATAAAAGAAGAGAATTTGTTTGATTAACAAAAATCAACTCGAAATAAATAATAAATTAAATAAAACCACATTATTTTATTTTGTTACAAAAACAAAACATAAATCGTGATTAAAATAAACATAATAAAAAACTAGAATAAAATTAAACAACTTACGATGGTTAATTTATTGAATAACTTTTGGCTGATCAAGTCCCAGTGTTTAACACTGTGTCCTTAGACAGATTCGTCCTCTTCCACGGTGCTTTCAGAATTTGGACGTTATTCTCCCAAGATGAAATGATCTTACCACAAACAATAGCAGCCCACTACAAATTGTTTGCCGTACGAAAACACACTAAGTGTTACACATCTTTCTTTCGGAAAATAAAAATGCAGTAAGATGAAGAATATAATTTGCAGAGATAGGAGTCACGAAAAAAATTGAGTAAAATCCAAATGGAGGCTAGTTATTTATAGATGTAAGTGGCTTTTGGTTTTGAATTTGAACAGGATATGAAACCTGTAGACTTCAAATTTTTAAACAGATTTGAATCTGTTTATTTCAAACAGATATAGAACGGGAAGGGCGTCTGTTAGCATGAGCAATAAATCCAAAAACAGTTTAATTCTGTTTGAAAAACAGAGAAGGCTCTGTTTGGATGAAGCCCAATAAATCCAAAACAGTTAAATTCTGTTTGAAAAACGGGAAGGGCCCTGTTGAATGAACAATAATCCAACCAGTTTAATTTGAATTTCTGTGATTTTATTTTAATAAAAAATTAAAATTAAATTCAAAATGTTTTTGGCCCAAAAAGATTAGAAGCCCAACTGACCGGACGTGGCGCACCGTAACATCTCCCTCTAAAAACACTTGGGTACCCCTTGCAGGCAACACCCCAAGTATCTCACCCTAAGCCCTTATAAAACCCTTTCAAACTTCTCACCAAATCACATGTGGACAAGCCAATTTACAACTTCAAGGAATTTCCACCATAACCTCCATTTCCATGGAGCACACGTGGCTTTTCAAGTTTTCCCATTCACTCTTACACCGGTAACGGTTTTGCGAGCAACCAAAATATACCACGGTGAATCACAGCGCGGCATTTAAAACGCTGTACCACTTTGACCCGAGTAAATCGATACTCGGCGGACCACCTTAAAAAATAGAAACCAAACTTGAAAAAAATTCTGATTTTACCCAAAATTTTCCAATTATTTCCAACATTTTTACACTTTTCAAGCATTTAAGACATCAATATAAAAAATAAAAACACACTTCTAGATCAAGATAAGGCTTCATTTGACTGTGATAAAAGGAAAATTTATTGATAAAAAAATTACTTTGTTTAAAAAAGCAGAAGTCATTTTAGCACCCCAAAAACAAATTTAAAAAAAGGGTAGTGTGTCCCCCGAAATGGAGGTCCCCGAATCCCCCAACACATTTCCGTTTTAGTAAAAAAAAAAAAAAAAAGAAGACAGAAAAAAAAAAAAAAAAAAAGTTTCTCAAAAAGAAATAGCGCGGGATTAGGGGACTTTTTTTTAGTGCCTTACAAAGCATTTTACCTTAAAAAAAATCGACTTAAACTACTTTAAAAAAAATCAGTATTTTTGTTTAAAAAATAAAGTAGGAATATACAAAACAACTAAATCTTTTAGTGTTAGTTTTTGATAATATTATTTTAGTTCAAAAAATTAAAAAAAAAAAATTAGAATATAACTAAAATAAAATAAATTTTAATATTCCTTATAGGTTTATTTTAACTAATAAACTGGTAGATGCAGCTGATATATTACTATGCGTAATATATGGAGTTCTTATTAGTAGGTATTAGTTTCCATCTGTTGTAAATAATTTTTTTTAAAAAAAAACACGGTAAGATCATTTCTAAATTATTAAAAATCAAAATAAGCAAAATTTATACAATATTTCTGGTTAATTTTATTAAAAAATAAAAAAAAAATTAAAATTGACACAACATCACTGGATATTTGTAGTTTACACCCCAAAAGACCGTTTATTTCTCATCACACATTGCTCCAGGACAAACCCATCAACCAACCAGCCAACTCTCCTCTACTCTCTTTTCTCTCTCACTGATCAGTGGCGAAAGGGCCATGGCATGGCCCTCAGAGCCACAAGCCACAAACTAGGACCTTCTCTCCCTTTCTTCCTTCCTTTCCTCCCCATTTCACCCCCAAAAAACTCTTTCTTCTCTCCAAAAAAAATCTCATCCAAATCTCAATTCAGACACTCCTCTGCTTTCACTCCAATCCTCCACCACTCTCTCCTTGTTGCCCTTCTTTCAACCCCCACAGAAGCCAAAGCTCTCAGCCTCTCAAACGATCAAGATTGTCTCTTCTCTCACCCAAGTATGTCCCATAAACTTACACAACTCTGTCTCTTAAAGCTGATTTTTTTTGTTTTTTTTTTTTAGTTTTAATTGATAACCCATTTGTTTGAATGCTTGGTTTGTGTTGAAATTTTAGTGGAGAGACAATGATCAAGTTTTTCAGGAAGTGGGTTTTCAAAGTTTTTTTTTTTCGATTGTGCCCCCACAAGCGTGTTTTTCGCGGGTGGTGGCTGGGAAAAAAAAAAAACTGGTGAAAAAACCTTGGGGGGAAATTGGATTGTTTGGGCATTT